TGAGAAATGTTTGCGTGATAATAGCTGTCCACAGAAGTTCACTAATAAATAGGAGAGAATGCAGTGCAGCACAGTAAAAAAAGCCTACCTTTTTACAACTTGCGTACGTTTGTGATGAAACTGCTGTTAGCACCAAGTGCCTATTGAGTGTTACACTAAAGGGGGAAGTATCTAGTCGTCAAACTAATGTGTTTTAACCAGTTGAATTGTTCGTTTTGGCCATCAAAAGTGGAAGAATTTCCATATACATGCCCAAACACAAACAGCTGAATAACAGGAAGGAGAATTTGCATTTACATTTCTGAACACATACCCAAAAATCTAAGACCAAGGGGTATCCATGCGACTGCACATCACTGGACAAAGCAGTGACAGCCTCAAATCATTCAGTGATCAATAGGCAGATGAATTCGAGCACAACCCGCTTAGCTGAAGTAATGACCACTTATAAACTGAAACTAAAGCTAGATGTTCAACAGAATATAGCTCTCAACCTCTTGTTGCCGTGGTAATGGTTTCACAATAAAATTTATGCAAACAGTCGTTAGTTCACTGTATATTGAACATTTTGTTCCGTCCTAAGTCCTCATTTTTCTTCAAACTCTGCTCATCTTATTCTTAAGCTCTTTTGGATAAATTCGAAATACTTTGCAATCGCCTAGTACTTGCCGTCCGCCTTTTAACTTTCTCCTTCAAGAATATTCACTTAATAATCTTATAAATTGTCAGTCTCCCTCTCACATTCCTGACTATCTCCTCTCCTTTGATCATTCAAACTATCCATGTTACCTTCGGATCCTGTCAATAACTTCTTGTCAAGCTAGTAAACTTGAGTTCAATTCTTGTAATGTGTACATCTTTTTATATTTTTGAGGAAAATGCTCAAAATAATAAAATCTGAGCACGTACTCTCTAGTTACACTTTTGTTTTGTGGTGTTTAAGTCTGTAAGCGTCAAGATCTGCATGATCTTCATGATATATCAGATCTTCAACCGAAAAAATGTTCCCTCCGTGTGTCTTTATAAAATGTGCATCTAATCATTACGTTAAAAAAACAGCTATTTGGTTGAGCAGTGCACATTTCTCATGACCAATACAACCAAGGTAGTATTAGGCAGGCACAAGCGTCCACGGAGACTTGAATAATTAAGTCACTCAAAGTTACTCAATGCTAGTTTTCATCAAGTCTCCCACTTAACATCATCATGCCAAAACCTCGCTCACTAAATCTTACTTCTCATCTGTTGCTAATTACGTCATAAGATGATGAGGAGACTGAAGATTTATATGAAATGTTGTGCACATTATTAAAGTCAACCTCATTCCAATACTGGTCAGGTCATTTGCCAATATATTCAAAACTATGTACTTCAAACGTGTATGATGATTATATTTGTATATTTCTGAAGATAACTCAATTATCTGAGATAAAATCTTTCTATTAGTTCTTATGAAAGAAAATACGAACGGTTTCCATGTTCTGTTTAACCCCGTTTCATCAACAGAATATTCTATCTTACAAAACATCACAGAAGTTGCTACCATTGTCTATCAACAAAGCGGAAGAAATACATCAAATTATGCAAAATTTATACATCTGGCATTCGTGTTCTCGATATTGTTATTGAAAAGATGTTCTCAATTAGTAATAATAATAATGATAATAATAATAATTCACTTTATTCCAAACGACTTGTGGTACAATTTAGAATTCTCAGCGTGATATATTGCAACAACAATAAAATATATGCATATACATACTTCTATACATTTTGAATCGTATTATCATAACAATTTAAGTAATGTTAAAAATTTTGAAACAACTAGTCCCTTTAATACATTTCGATAACGCTATCAGAAGACGAAGATTATATGAAAAATGTGATGTATTTGCGCAATACATTTCGAACAATCTGATCATACATTTACTTGTCAAGTCAATTTACATATGAAAATTAAAGGCCAAATATAGTGAATATGAAAGGGTTGTGACACTAGTCTTGGTAATATAATCAGATAAGGATTACCAAGGTAAATTAAGTTAAACAACAAATTGTTTTTTTTTACTGAGCCCGATTCGTAATGATTTATGTAAGTATTCACTGAAAGATACGTTTGAACTTATTGATTAACTTACTGATTTGAATATTAAAAATAAGAAAATGTATTCTTTTGATGTTAACTCTCTGTTTACAAATGTGCCTCTAACGAAGACAATTAATATTCTTGGCGACCACATATCTTCGAATTATCCTTCTTTCCCTATTCCTTCAATTTATTTGAAAGAACTGCTTTTATCATGTACTGATAAGGTTCATTTCACTTTCGAAGGTGAACACTTTCGGTAAATTGATGGTGTAGCCATTGGGAGTCCATTAGGACCGTTATTAGCTGATGTATGTATGTCACATGCTGAACTAATGGCTCAAGATCTAATCACTAATGTCACACTCTATAGAAGGTATGTGGATGATATCTTTGTAATATGTGAGACAGATGAGGATGCCAAGAGGTTGTTAAAAAGGCTTAATGCCGTACAAGATCATATCAGTCTGACATGTGAGGAAGAAAACGACCATCAAGTTGCATTTCTTGATATACTCTTGTACCGGAGGGAAGATGGATCTACAAGATGATCAATATATAGGAAGCCTACTTGGACAGGACAGTATTTGAATTTCCATAGTTTTTGTCCGATGAAATATAAGAGAGGCCTGGTGAGATGCTTGTTCAAAAGAATCCAACGTATTTATACATGTGATACGATGGATGATGAGAATAACTTTCTGACAGACACTCTAGTAGAAAACGGTTATCCATTACAGTTTGTCAACCATTGTAAAAAACAGTTGACCCCAAAGCCTACAGTTTCCTCGGTCCCGAAGAAAAGCATATTTCTTAAAGTACCATACAGAGGGGAAACAAGTAGTATGATATTGAAGCAGAGATTAAAATCTGTTATCAGTAAAACATACTATGCAGCTCAGCTTATCATTGTTGACACGACAAAACACTGCCTTCGCCAAAAACCTCAACCTCGCACAAATGATTACGTCACATCCCACTGTGTTTACCAATTTACATGTATGTGTGGGCACACACACATAGGGAGGAGTAATCGTTCAGTGCAGACTAGGGTGGATGAACACATCCCCAAAAGGCTAGAAAAACAGTTTAACACACAAACTTTAATAAGTGCAGGTGATAGACATCCATCGTCATCTATAGCAAAACATATTATTGAAATGAATAACAGGGTTAATACGAACACAGCGTTTAGGATATTATACAGGAATAATCAGGGGCGCATACTGAAGTTTGCCGAAGCGTTAGCCATTCGTAAACTTAATCTCCCGCTGTGTGTACAAAAACAATTTGTTGTTTAACTTAATTTACCTTGGTAATCCTTATCTGATTATATTACCAAGACTAGTGTCACAATCTTTTCATATTCACTATATTTGGCCTTTAATTTTCATATGTAAATTGACTTGACAAGTAAATGTATGATCAGATTGTTCGAAATGTATTGCGCAAATACATCACATTTTTCATATAATCTTCGTCTTCTGATAGCGTTATCGAAATGTTAAGAATATTGAAAACAAGGAAATTTTACATTTTGTTAGTAAAATTATTCAAACGAGATTTTTAATTGTTACAAAGTTGACGTGTGATTTCTGTTCTAACACTTTTTCCGCACAAAATATGCTTGCTAGGTAAGGTACAGTCGAATTCTTATTCTTAGCTGTACAAAAGTACAGTCTGATATATTTTCTTCCTGTCCTCCCTGAGGAAATATATGGAGAAAGCCGTGAATGAAGTGGATGCTCACCGTCAGTTAAACTTTCTGTAGCTATTTGCTTGCTGGAATTTAAATGTCTATCAACTACAGTGTTTATCAGTTAGGCCAGAGGCACACCACTTATCCTGCTAACAGCTTTCAAAGCTCTACGCAATATAATAGAGTATTTTAAGTAGACAAGGAGAAGAGGTAAAATCCAGGAATTAATAAACTGTAAAAGAAGAGGTTGATAACCTCAGTTTTTTAATGTAATAAGTTAAACAGATTTTTTTACATGTCAACAAAATATGAGACGACCAACAAAGGTCAGAAGTAAAACTCAATCCAAGATAGTTAACACTCGACTTACTTTCTGCAGAAATACCATCAGTGCAAAAGGTGTCATGAGATTTAAACAGCTCACACAAATCTTCTTTACACTTGAGGCTAAAATTGACAGTCTGATATTTAAAAACCTTTAGCTTGAGACCATTTGAGAAACACCATTGGCCAATTTCAGACAGTCTGTTCTCTTGTGACTTCATCTACAGTTTCGTTTTGTTTCTCGAAGTCTAAGAGTTTCAACAGCTGTGTTTCATGAGATACTAACTATCCTAAGGCATTTCTAGGTCGACACAGCTGGTTATACATGAAAATATAGCAACATTTTAGTAGGCATTTCTCAAGTAGGAGTTACGATATTTAACCCTCTTCTGAATGGCATGGTTTTCAAACTAAACCATATCCATGCTTCAGGTGGCTTAAGAAACTCAAGGTCGTCAAAAGTTAAATAGGTTCTGATCCACACTTTATAAATCAAACAAACAGTATCATTATAAGGTTTTGCATTACTTCGTAATAGTCGCAGCTGTCACATACCGCATAAGTAAATTCAGCAAAAAGATAACAAACGAAAATCAAAAAATTTGAAGTCAACAGGCAGATATTTCGCAAACATTGATCTTCAATATGTTGAGGTCCTCAGTCAATCAGTCAATCAAACTTCTTCTCTATACAAAGAACAAACCTGGGAGACTGGTTACTCTTCATCGATAGAAATTAAGGAATTCTTTGAAAATACCGTTAACTAACGTTATATATATGTATATATATATATATACATGAATAGGTGAAAAATATGCTCAAATGATAGATGTCAGAAGACCTGACACTTTTAGGCCTTCTTATGGATTTATTTAAAACACTGCAAAAAATTTAAACAAATGGTGGAAAACTAGATATAAAATATTGACTACCCACATAACAGTAATTTAGCTATAAATATATGCAGTGCAATACTTACATTAGTTACCATAAATAAACCAATAACGTAAGATACAATACATGTTGCTGCAACAAAACTAACTCGATACCATGCATTCGATATGATTTGAGGAAAATAATCTGCAATAGCTGCAACAAAGCCTTCAACTCCACCGAACTGAAAAAAGAAATTAAAGCGTTTTAACAATGAAAACAATTTATGATTTCGAAGTGGCAATTTTTATTGTGATTTATTGAAAAACTGGCACAATACAACCACTCAAAAAGTAATCGAAGATAACGACCATTCAGCAGACATTCTTCGTAAAATGAATTCTGAAGAGAAATTCCTCTCACATACCGATAGGGTGAAATTCATCTCTTATTTAAACGAATCGTTAAGCAATTTTCACCACAAAATAGTTGAAGACTTTGTCAAAAGTAAATTTCTTTTTAGCTTTATAAGAAATTAAAAGCTTGAATACTTAAAACTTTTTCTAGTTAGTATCCTTAAATATACTTTAACACATTCTCTAAAAGTCGAAAAAGTAGGACTAAGAAAGTCCTTTTTTAGTTAAATATTTTCATTTCCTAAATACAACAAAGCTATGAGAAATCTGTCTACATCTTGAACGCAAAATTTAGTTGTGAAAACTGTACTATATAGACAGACCGCAGACGTGCAAGTGAGCTCTTCTGAATATGTTTTTGATATGTCAGTAGTTGAATCAACAATAGATAGTGGTCATAAAGTAAATACAAGCTAAGCGTTTACAATCATATACCAGATGCCACCCAGTCCTTGGCGTATTTTGCGTATTGGCTGGCTACACCTGTCCAAACCACATCTTTTTCTTTGTCATTACCTTAACCGTCAAGGTAAATCAACACATAACTTCAATTGATTTCCTTTTTACACTTAATGGACTAAAATTTGTTCAAAAGAACTCTCTCTCTCCTAATCAGCTTATATTATCTATATCAGTATTTTTTCACTACCCTATTATTAAATAATGCTCTACTGTTAGCATGCTGCCACAGCCTAAATTCCTCACTTTTCATGTTAGTTGTTATGCGGTAAGTGAATGAGCAGCCTAATTTTATTTATTTTACACCTCTGTCAAACTTTTAAAGTTGCCGTTTTCATTAGTTTCAATCTTCTTTATTCGATCACGGCTTTCATGAGTAAGTTGTTATTAGCGATTATTTAAGTCTATTAGTCTATTAGTCACTAAACAGCATTTCGCTATCAAATGTAAAACCTGTACATCACGTTAGAGCCGATGACGAAAAATTAGTTGAAAATAAATATTTCTTCGTCCAGTTTGTTTTTTACTTTAAAATATCTAAATTACTACTTGCATTCGATCAATTTAAAAGGGTTGTAGTCAGGTTTTTGTGAATTAGGTCAAACAGTTTGTACGACGTAATGAAAGTTAATGACTGGTTGTCAACTTCTGGAAATTATGCATTCAATGAATTTGTTAGTGATATTTATCATGAAACATGGATTTTAATAGTGATGTCAGTAATCGTCTTACCACTAGGCAAGCCACTGTTTATTCACTAACCCTTTATTAAACATCATGCGTTAAGATAAGAAGATACCAACCCTCACTATTAGAATCAGTCTATACACTTAACTCATTCTCATGTATGACATGAAGTGTCCGGGAAGTAAGTATTTATCTAACAAATATTTTCTAATCAAGATACCCTTTTGTAACTTCAGTCTAATAATGGAATCATAGTTTCCATGGAACTCGGCAAAATATAAATAAGGATAACAAACAACCAGAGCTGACTCTGGTCAAGATTCAACAGAACTGTTTCAAGAATATTTAAATTCAAATGAAAAGTCAACATCACATATAAACCACATCAGTACAAATCCTAATGTGTGAAATAAAAGAATTTCATCATTTTTCTCAGAATTTCGATTCGAGCTTCTTTAGAAAAATATTCACGCATCATTCCGGTTGTCATAACCAGCGGAATTATTACTGTATAGTCTTATTTCCTACAGAATAGTTATACATCTGAGAAAAAATGTAAATGTCCATTTCAGAACCTTCTGTTGTTTTGTACGCTACTGGAAATGCGTTTACATTAAGTAAGTTTATAGTTTGTTAAATACAGATGAGCAAAACTTATTTTTCAAAGAATTTCAACTATAAGTATTCCTGCATGAAATTTTTGTTAGTTACCAAGTTCTCATGCAATGAAGTTAAAAAAACTGACTTTTGTCTTGGGAAACGGAATACCAAGAGTACTTGATTCACTGTCAGTGTCTTCTTCCATGCAAACAATAGTGGAAATCTATTTCGAAGCTTACCAATCGCCCAATACCTGTTATCTGAAGACTCTCGTTCACGCAACTGTCAACATAATGGAACTTCTAGGTTTATTTTGTGCACCTCTTCCCCTTCTTGTTTCTATCAATATTCATATTTCCTATTTTAGTAACTCTACTGATTATTTACATCATTATTTCCGAAACATCACCATATGATTGGTATTTTGATCAAATTGTAAACCGATGTATTAGTGTAGAGCCCAAGATGAAGACCTAATTGAAAAGAAATATATTTCTTCGCTCAATCAGTCTTTTTCTAAATGTCTAAATGGGTATATTCAATGTCTTAAAATGCTGGCGTTAAAAATAAGTGTTTCATGAAGTCAAGATTGGTCTTCATTATATTTCGTAGCTCCTGGCATTGAGTGTCTTTACGCTGATTTCCTTTCATTTGGGACTAATTGGGTGAATACACATACCTTTCAATCCATTAGTGTTTTCATTAAACGTTTACGGAGAACTTAGCAGTAGATTTTTCCTTTTCGTAAAGAAATCACAATGAATTTGTTAGACGATAAGTACTAACTAATACATACGACCACTTACTATAAGACAATGGCTTGCGTTTCTTTGGATAACCGTTCAGAGATAAAAGATAATGGATTACCCCAAACTTCATTTATTGAGTGGAATATTCAATGCCTTTAACGTCTTTTAAATAACCATTATATGGGTTTGGACCTTGATTACCCACTTATATCATAGCTTTTTACTCAACAGTTTTTATTTCTCCAAACTTCTGATCTTCCTTTATTGTTATAAACCCATATTTTCAAACTATTTTTATTATTCATAACAGTGTGCACTATGAACCGAATAAAAAACTTTTACTTACCATACTATCGATCCCCAAAAGTATAATCATTGTGAAAAAACAAAACGACCAAATTGGACTTCCTGGCATTGTTCCCAAAGCTTTTGGATAAATAATAAATGCTAATCCTGGTCCAGACTCAGCAATTAAGTGTATGGGTACTTTGGATATGTAAGACATATTACCAAGAGTTGCAAAAATAACGAAACCTGCCAGCAAGCTTGTAAACGTATTCGCACCAGCAAACAAGAGACAGTCTCTGTGAACAAACAAATTTCAACGGGAAAAGATTTCAAAAGCTACTGAGAATGCAGGACAGCTATTGTTATCAACATGTAGGTGAAGTGACATTTCAGACAACGCAAGAATTTTCCAACGCTTCACAATCTACGATACTCAGTGATGAATGCTATGAAACTATCAAATAATGATAATCCTGTCTTCATGCTGTAGAGCTATGCTTAGCAGTATGAAGTTATGATCGAAACTTGGTATTCCGAAGCACTTGGAAACAATAATAGTTCGCCGGATCCATAAACTTCCAATAGGAATATTTCCCCCTGAAAACAATGTGTAAGGCTTCATATTTTATTGTTGTCTAATAAACCAAGATTAAGGTAGCATTGATCATGGGCCGACATCAGGTAAAGAACCATTAAAAACCTGAAAGCACTGGATACCCGTTTCTTCTTAGTATAAGGTTCCTCAGCAGTACGCACCCACAAACTGGTTATAGACTGAACTCAGGACGTTCAGGGTTCCACGACGAACGTGCTGATCATTTAGCCACTGTGTCACTATTCAGTTGCTAACAATTTCCTTCCTATGTTAATTGGCTATATAGCTCAACTATCATTCAAAATCTTCAGTTGGCATCCCCTTAACTTTCGATTGGTTGACCTCACAGGTCACAGCTTCTCATCTGAACTTCATGAGGTCCATTTAAAGAATGTCACTAATGACCACTAAACTTCGACTACTCCAGAAAAAACGCTTGGGCCCGTAGAATATTTGGCACTAGATTCTGCATAACCATGTAAATAATAAGCTCTTGACAATACATAACCACCGGATGACGATAACAGGATGACTTTTGAACTGTGTTTCTGATACAGGTAAGTACATTCTAAGTCACCAAAGTCACTGGTTAAGACACTGACCTTTAAACACTTATTGAAGATTGATCACCATAACTACATAATCTGCACTCGAGAGTTAAGCTAATTTGTCCAAAACATTTTGTTTTGTTCATCCGTTGATTAACCTTGAGCATTTATCCGCTGTTTATCACAAACTAATTTATCTTACGAAAGCAATGACTGAAGGTAATGTTGCCAGAAATGAGAATTATAAGTCAGTAGTCATGGTGAAGTGAAGTTAGGTGGGGAAGCATTAGAAACCTGGGAGCACTAGATACGCTTTTCGTCCTACTATAGGACTCGTCAGTAGCTCCCAACCATCACTCCATTAGAGATCCAACTAAAGAACGCCAGGACCCGAGGTCAGCACACTACCGTTTTTCCACTGAGTCAGGATCAAATGGCCAACATCCTTCTGCTACTGTCTGTTCGCAACATAAAACTACCTCCACCCAATGCCGTCACTGATTAAGTATCATCACGTCTGACTTGATTTTTCGCGTAGGTCAGGCTGTGATGGATACCAACTTGAAATTAGTCAATCTGTACAAATCTCCGAAATGAATTACTGTCTAGTGCTCCTTACTGAGTGATTTTCTTCGAAATGAGACTTTTGGAAGTTGTGGCTGGTGGGGTAAACCAAGACAGACGTGAGGACAGATACTTAATGATGGCAATGGATGGAGGTCACACTATATAATGAGCAGGCAGAAGCAGGAAAACGTGGGCAATCGGATTCCGATCCAGTGGCTAAATTGTAAGGTATTGGCCAAGGAACCTAAAGGTCTTTGGTTGAATCTACAGAGGAGTCATAGGAGGCCACTGCTGACAAATACCGTAATAAGACGAAGCAATTCTTCAGATGTCGGACGATTAATGATGCATACAAAGTTGAAGTCAATAAAAAAATCCCTGTGGACATCCATACTGAAAAGAGGATTCATTGTCAATATTTTTGAACAATAAATCCATGTAATGTCGATGGAGCATATAAAAGGAATGTACCGGACAAGAAATGTAGAAACTTCCGGGATTAGACTGCATCCAAAACGTTAGGTGGGTATTTTTTCTTCTTTATTTTCCCTTCTCTGAAGCCCCAAGCATAAACAAGCATGAGCTTACACATTTTTGTGTTCAAAGATGACTCTTCTTAAAACTAAGCTCACCCTGGTAATTTCTGCCTCATTTTTTACCAAGACTGGTTTAAAAGTTTCATCATTAATCTTTTATCACCTTCTTATTCCGACTTTCTTTACTGTATTGTGCTGGTGATTTCGGTGCATTGGTCATGTGTAGCGGTATTTCCACACCAGTACTATAGAAGTCAGGTAAAGAGTTTTGGATGGAAGAGGAAAGTCAGTTGATGAGGTCATGAATCTCCATCGACTTGGATATCTGTGACATATGTTGCGCCATCTGCTTTGTAGCATAATTTTGTTGAAATAAGGTTTAGGCTAGCCAAATATAAGAGGTGGCCAGACTTATACATGACATCAACTCATAAAGTCTCGGACTTGCGGTGTTGGGAAATGTAGAAATATGAGTTACGGTCCACATGACCACCAAAATCGATTGCTGGATGATAACTGAGTGCCTGACTGACTATCTAGGGCAAGCTGCATTTTCTGGTCTCTCTCTCCAAATTCCTAATTTAGAAACCTATGGGTAACTGAAAGATGACCTTGATTCCAGCGTCAGTGACTCAACTCGCACCCTAAAGTATCACAAAAGTCTCACACTGTTTTTATTGGTCCTACCAGCCGTTTTCAACCTCCACTGAAATGTTCAGCAGACAAGTTGAAGTAATATGATCAGTTCACTTCAGTGGACTCACCACTAACACATTGTGACCAACAAAACAATGTCAATTGGTAACCTCTCAAATGGAAAAGTAAATAATTTATATATGAGTGTAAAATGGTTTTAACATTAGTATAGTAATGGTGAATTAAAACTTTGTTTTATCTCTAAGTATTGAATCTATCACTTCAGTTGACAACAAAAATCCACAGAATTAACAATCTCCGTGTTATTTTTTGGAATAAATGATTCCTATCAGAAAGATACTTAGCTTCCAGAACTCCCCACTTCATGATAGGAGGTTCAAATCAGATTCATTCAAACTGCAGACTCGCTAGTTTCTGAGATCTGGAACATAAAATGGTCGACATGTCATGGGGTGGTAAAATATAATAAACTGTATATGACCATCCAATATGTCACTGTGTCAGCAGAAGATTTCATAGAGTAACTGTGTGGTTACACAATATCAATGAGGCATTTCAGGACTAAAACCTTACTGAACCAAAAGTTGCGTGTATATTAGGAAAGAAAATGAAGAGCTAAGCTTATCCACAAATATTCACGCAATAACTCTGAGGCACAAAATAGGATTACATAGTTAAAACACTATAAACTAAGTTAGGTGGAAGTAAAGCTTCTCAAGCCAGTCTTTATCTATTAAATCAAAACCAAGCATATCCACTACAAATGAAGAAGCCCCCCTATTCGAAATATTCTTAAAATTTTATTACTTTACTAAACATAACTTCAAGAATAAAACCGACACAAAATATCATAATGTTACAAAGTTATCTTGATATAAAAATTGACAGTAAATTGTTTTCAAAGCCTTTTTCCTAAAATAATCTACTTCCATTATGTGGGGCATTTATTAAAGGAAGAGAAATGGTTACACAATAGTACATCACTTTTCTCTCCCGGTCACGATTTCTAAACATTTTACAGGTAAATAACTGGGCTTGTTTCTAGCAAGTGCTTAGTCCGGTTATGAAACATTAGACTGGATATTGACATAGTAATGCTCAGCATATAAGAGAAATGAGAGGAAAAGCCGATCAAATTCAGTGATAAAGAATAGAAAAGACAGGAAAAATAGCTATGACAGGATTTTTCCTTAGAATGCTGTGAACTACGTTAAGTTTCCATTGACCTTTTTGAGAAACTATCTATCATAGTTTTTTAATTCAAGTTATTCCACAAAGTAATTCTGAAAGGGAGTCAAATTAGAAACATCTACATGAAGTGAATTTCGTACTACAGAATTAAACCAGGCTAAACATTTTTCTACCAGAAAATTATTATCAAACACTGGCAAACAATTTACGATGCAGTCGAAGCAAGTCTTTAAAACTTAATCTGTAGATGGAGATTATCAAAAATTGGCTAAGTAACAAAAACATTCTTGTAAAAGTTTCCCCTAAAGTGAACCTAGAAAGGGTGATTTACACAGTGGGATGAACTCGCTTTAAATCTACCTCCTAATAAGTTGCCCTTACAGAAACAAATAGAACTTAATCTCTCTATATTTCCAATAGATTGAGATACTGTGACAATTATACGCTTGCATATTTCCAAATTGCATACGATGGCGAACTTTAGTATGCAATACATTTATGACACTGACTAACTCATTGATCTCAACAAGAGAGATTAATGTTCTGTATGACTTAAAGCTAACGATAATAATGGTCGTTTAAAATGAAGATGTGATAGTTTTCAAAGCGAAGTGAAATGTTTTGGTTTTGGGTATATCTGTGTTATACCCATAATTTTCAATAAGAACGAGATGATGCTCAGGATCTCTTCATATCTGATTTCAAAAGCCTAAGAACAACTCAATCACCACGATGTATTCAAGCTAAAGAGATGTAGGATAGCATAAATTTCAAATGAAAATTAGGGTTTAAAAAGTATGCATAAAATCGTATGCAATAAAGCTCAAACTTTATTACATAAAGCCACTTTAACTTTGTACACTTATTTTGAATATGATACTGTTGATATTAGGTAATGTCATTCACGAAGGATACCGTTGTTTGAATAAAATCACACAAAAGTTAAATTTTGGAATAAATAGCCTTAGCAAATAACTTACCGGACAGAATTATGATGATATCTGTTGTAACTACCTAGCGCTGTTAAGGCACCTAGACCAATAGCGTAACTGAAAAAATTTGAGTTCCAGCATCTGACCAAACCTGAATATAATAGATAAACAAAAATAACAGTCAAAACCAGAACAATGTGGTTCAATACTGCTTATGTTAAAAGACCGTTAAAATTAATCAAGCTATGAATAGAAATCAATTTCATGGAAATTGCAGTCTACACTATTAAGATAATTGTCTACCAACAGATACGACATTATAGTATAGTTATTCAGAGATATACAATAGAAAACATATTCAACATTTATCTGCAGTTACTGGTCCATGCGGACAGAGAAAAGAACGCATACCCATACACAGATTTTGACATAATATAAGCTGTCCTAGAAATGTGGGTATAAAATACAAACACCGATAGACAAAACAACGTACAACGTTACATATATGTATATATATATATATCTTCTAATAATATTTATCTTCAGAACAACAGAAACAGAAAGATGTTTTTCCCAAAGTTAGATGGAAAATGTTAGTGACTTTTGTACAGTTTTCATTTTCACCTTTTTAGATTTTTGAACCTAATACTGTGTGGATACATACACACTTTTGGTTTTAAAGATGTAACCATCACAAATGAGCCACAAAATTGACCAGTTTTTCTGATAATCAACTCACAAAGCTACTAAATAATCATAACTTTAAGATAGAAGTGATTTCCAATTAACGACTCGATTGAATTAGAAACCTATTTGTATTTTTAAAAATAAAACCCTTCATGTATCAGTGAAGGAGCATTCATATCATTTTTCTAGCATTCATTCATTTAAAAGTACAACGTAGTGAAATATTCAAGTCAAAAAATAGTGACCTAATGCTCATTTTGCTTCTGGTGAACATGCGAAAACAATGACTGGAAAAATACTTAATGTAACTGTTATTTATTTGAAAACACACTACGCAAATGAATATTTCAATCTATTGTGACTATCCATTGACACTATCTTCTTATTTCAAATGTTTTAAGTTTAATACAACAGTTTAGAAACTTATGATGACAATTACTATAGTGGATGTCATTTACTTAATTCACTGAGCGATTCAGATCTCTATTTAGCAGCTGTTTATCAATCACCAACCTCGAACTTCATAATATTTAGTTCATGCCATTCCTGAGTTTATACCATTATGAACTTTTAATCGACGGTATAATATGTAAACAAAATACAAAGGAAACCACTAGTTGTCGGTAAATATTTGCGTTGTGACCTAGTTATTCACGAAGAACTGGACCTAAAAACGTTGCCGAAATTCACAAGTTTATAATAACTATGAGAATAATTACCAAAATTGTAGACAACAAACGTTTTAGGGTAATGCAAACTGAGCTATTACATTTAACCATTCCTATGTACATCTACCACTTTATCTTCTCCTGTAGATAAGATAAACCGATTTCAGTTAGCTTTCATTGTTTTCAGACTTTTTATGTTTACCGCTCCACCTTTCCAGAGTAATTAACTTTAAAGTTTCATCCAACACAATTTTTGACTTAACTTCACCTTCAGAACTTCCAACTTAACGCAGACTAAATTCACTGTTAAACTCATGACGATTTTGAAGCATACTTACAAGGACGGCGATATAGTGATGCAGGCCATTTACTCTTTCACTGAAGCAGAAGACCAACTAACTTAGGTAATGCTGTCTGAAATCCAATAGGTTTGGCTTTAAGGTTCAATTCTCAACTAATTAAACAAGACAAAAAATCCAGCTGATGGTACAATCCACTCTTTACTTTCGGTTTTAATTTTTTTTAAATGCGTTAAATATTTTCCTTACGATCATAAAACCTTTCTTATGCACCAAGTAATATGCTGTCAAAGATGTTTTAAAACAAATAAATTGCTTCATCTTAAGGTGTGCAATGTTTAAGACTAGCAAAAATCGATCATTCTATCGCAAGATAATTTTCTAGTTCATTCTACGAAACCGCTTTTGCAAAATCATTGCATGTAAATATTCATGAACAATGGACTGTCTAAAGGACATTCAGTAACGCATATCAGGTTTATATTATACGTGACAGTAGCAAAAAGGTTCATAAAACTACACTTCTTTTTTAAAAGTTGACACTTATGCGATCAAAATGGCATTTATCCAGGTCTGTGGGTTGCCATTGGGAAATAAGTTATGCGCTTCATGTTAGGTTGTCACATGCAGCTTCTCCTCAAATTTTAGACAAAAAAACAGGTGTTTCCCCTTCACTCTGATGAATTCACGTTTGAGATTTGTGTGAGCAATATCTGCTTCGATGAACTCTTCAGGATTTAAATGTTTACTCAGAATATCGTGGATACCTAGTAGTTCTTTCTTCATATACTTCTAGGAGAAAAAACTGATATTACACTAACTGTTTACCCAGTGTCATTTTATTCTACAACTTCATCTGAAATCACTTTGAAATAAGCCTTAAAGTATACCCACAGTATAAAACATTACACTTTCTGTAACAGGCCAGAGAACGTAGATTGTATATTTAACTCAACTTCATCTTTCAATATTCCTCAAACGTTTCCTAGCCAACCGAATGACCTCATGATTTCAAGAGTGAAGTTTTTAGTCTCCATTATTCCACTGATTGTAGTGAACCCATTGAAAATTCAGCCTAAATACTGCTTTTGGCATTCTCAGTCTCAGTCCACTCACAAACTAACATAGCCTGTTTAGAAGTGTAGTCAGTGTTGCTGTAACTACTGCTCACTTTGTTAGCAAATAAAGTTTCTAATTCTTGATAGCCTTTTCAGCGTTGCATTAATTAACTATTGCATAAAATCTACAGATTAAAGTCAAATGAACTCATTAAAATTAAGCCATGATATAAACCAGTTAGAAGGTGTTTTTATGTTGTCCAAATGAGTGGATCTGTAATAACTAAGAACGGTCGTGAGACTATACGATGCTTTTTGCAATTTCTGCCAATGCACTCATTGGCTATATGTCAGATGAAGCCATTGATAAGTTTAATTGAAAACTGTCAACTTTGTTGCAGAAAGCAGAAACTATGGATATAGCCATAATAGCATTTGACTTCAATGCTCATATAAGGAAGCTGAGCTAACTGGAAGGTTATCTTGGTGTAACGTAATATATTTTATAAATATAATATTCCTACCAGCAAGCCAAGAATGGTGATGGTCTTTTGCGATTTTATTCCGACAATCACTTGTTTCTAGTTATCATAGACTTCAAGCTAAAGGAGAGACAATGTCTTACTTGACATCCGCAGACATCAAACCATTGATTGACACAGATAGATCACACTGTTGCTGAGGATTTTTGGCGGATCACCGCTGCTTCTGAAGAACCTGGTTGACAGTTACTTTTGTGAGCATTGGAGTAGGTGACAGCACCGAGCATGTATTCAAGAAGGAGACAGCTAAGCATTTGTTTGACATACGACAGCAATTCTCATTCTGATGAAGTTTGGTGCAATATTCAGTCTACTGTGGAAACAGTGGTAAAGACAGTTGATAACCAGTATCCAAAGGTTAGCAAGTACCAGCAGGTTTCCACAGTATCATCCAAACTGGTGGATGTTGGAAGACTCATTGTAGCTGGATGGCTGCGACTGCAATAGAGAGCGAAAGCTGCGCAAACATAAATTGACCACCAGTCTTTGCGTTAATCATGAGCAGTAGTGAGTGGCAAAAGAGGTGACATCAGCACTAGGTAACAGCTGGCTTATTAGGGTATAGGTAAAAAGTAAAGTGATGGTGCACTAAACTATCCCTGATAAGGACGGGATGGTGACAACCTCTCTCTTGGGCCGAACATTTTGATGAACAATTCAAATGAAGAACAGTAAAGCTTGAGTAGCATGGGATCCAGCCTATGTGCGGTGCAGATGTAGGTTCTTAAACTCTCTTCAAATTTGAGAAGGTTGTTTTAAACTTGAGACCAGATGGGACTAGATGACTTCCCATAAAGATACTTTGAATGATGGTGTTGAAAGCTTACTCAGAAGAGCAATGAGGTTACTAGCTGATACATCGACACCAGAGGTAGTTCCATCAAATTGGTCTATTTCATTGATCTTTACCGTTAAGAGAAAAGTCTCCTTTTGACAACCACAGGGGAATCAGCCTGATTAACGTCATATCCAATATCCCATGGCCCTAGGTTATCCGGAGACTAACCGGATTTGACAGCAATAAGGTCAATAAAATCTTTAGCCTTCAACAGGGTTCGGAAGACAGGCTGACACTTGCCAAATTTTCTGACCTGAAGGTAATATTTGACTCTGTAGTCCAAGAGTCACTATGTTAGTTTTGAATCTGAAAAGAAGTATCAGGTAAATATACTGTGCCAGACAAAGCACTCTACTCAATTTCACGCAGGCAATGTAGGTCCGTAGGGAGACAGAAGTCAAGGTTGTCGATGAGAAGGGATTACTTTCACCTTTTCTGTCTTTATTCATGTATCAATAAACATAGCCTTAGATAACTCTGACTTCACACGGATTGATCTACCCTCTGGAGGACATTTGATTAACATAGAGTGCACAGAAGACATTGTCCAGTTAGACAAAGATGTCAACGAAATTTAGAGTCTTCTGAACGTCTTGAGTAGATATCTGAGTGTCCAGCTTGCATTTCATACCGTTCAACTGTAAGATGGTGATCAAAGACTGGTCTAAACTTAAAATAAGGAATGAACTGGCAGAAGCTGCATCAGCCCTAAGGATCAAGCTGCTGATGGAATCTCATATTTGTTAGGAAAAATAGAATTTTTATTAACCAGCTAGTGTTGCCAATGATATCAGTGAGGTATCCAACCACCCATCGGAGTGCAGTCATGCTACCCTGACGTGCAATGCACCTGTGTGACATAGTCATTGAAAGTCAAAGATCTGAACAAACTAAAAGTATTCGACCAGCGATCCCTGCATGAAACTGCTCTCAAATATTTGGGTCAAAATGTGAGCGGTGTCCATGTCAGACAAAAGGTACTAGGCAAGGAAGGCAAGTCAGTCAATGAGGTTGTAAACCTTCATCGTAAAGTTGGACTGGCCATGTCCTGTGCACGCC